TGTGCACCGCCACCCAACCGCCACCCGGCGTCGGAGATTGCCGGATCCGTGACTGGCGTGACTCTCTACTCTCTTCCTGCCACCATGCCGATTCGGTTCCTCTCCCTTTTTTCCGTCCTCAGACCTGGTCTTCTTGCAAATTCCGCGGTTCTCTACGCTTTCGCATCAGACCGGGTTCAAAGCCGTACTTTTTAGCCCAAGAAATCGTGAGATTTAGCTCTCCTGGGTCTTCCGCTTGCACGACGCTCCATTTCAGTGTCCTTCCGCTGCTCTCTCCATTTATCTCCGCTACGATATCATGCATCCAGGGATATACACCGACTTTGTGGGACTCCACGCCTGCCTTCGTCTGGAACTTGATGCGATGTCAACTCGATGGAATTCCGAAGGATTTCTTCCGAACGCGTTCGGAGTAGGGCGCTCTTTGCAACGAGGGGAGATGTGGCTGGAAGGGCGTTCCGCGCAACTCACATTCCTCGTATTACGGACGCGATATTTCGCTGACGCCTGACGTATCGCTTTCTTTACTCACACACGCACGTTACAGTGATGATCCCCCTACTCTTGGCCTTGTCGGACTTGCTCTCGAAATCTGGATCAGCAACACAGGGCGGCGGTCACGAATAATGTATCGCTTCCTCTGCGAGAAATCCACTTACCATCTGGTCTTGCTCTCGAAAACCGATTCCAGAACTGCCACAGGCGGCCAAACCGACAGACAATACTCCTCTATCGTGTCGAGATCTGGATCCGGGGACAATCGGGTGGACCCTGGGTACTCGCCTCGGCTCCTCTGCTGATACGAGAGCATGCCCGCTGTCTCTATGTACCTCAAGTCGTCAAGTGAAACGGGTGACCCAGATGCAGGGAAGTCGTGTGTATTCCAAGACTCTTTTGCCAGGTTGACATTCACCTAGCTCGTACGACTTCCGGGTTCAGAGAGATGTGAACTATAGTGCAACTATACACCTGAGCAACACCCGAGGGCAGGCGAGAACAAGGTACCGGCGATGCGCGGCGTTCAAGGCTGACTTATAAGCCTTCGGGCCAGTCGGGCGTCTCACCTCAGTAACCGAAGTCTAGCGAAATATGCTCCACGACAGTCCGCGTTCAACGGTCAATCGCTGCGGGCCAGTCCATAGCGCCGTGACCTTTTTTGTATACTCTGCGGACCCTCCTTCTTCTGTGGTGCGAATCTCTTCCCCTTCCTTCTGCAGCTGACGCAATGCATATTATAGGACGCCGTAGATGCCCGACCGGTACTGTCATCTTGGAGATCATACATATACACTCTAATAGGCGACTCGGCAGATGTCTAATTGCTGATGGCGCCGGGGATGCGATTACGCCGACAGGACGCGAGAGCCATTGCATCTTTTCTCCTTGTACTGACACCACTGTCCACCACCTTCATTTCGACCTCCGGCCGCTGGGGCTTCTCATGTTACACCTGGTAACACTCTTGTGGGTTCTACGCCACTGTGGGCACTTCCTCCTCTTAAACTACATCCCAGGATCACCGCTAGCTTGGTACTGGGCAAATTGAGCGTAATCGATGTGCATGGCACTTTTCATCCCGGCGACAAACTTACGGTGGATTGGACGAGCAATGCGGCCGACGAGTGCGTTCATAGTTGTCTACTTACCAGAGATCCCGGTCTCACCCACGCAGCCCGACCCAGTTTAATATTGTCTTATACAGCCAGACCTTTGTGCATCCTTTTTCCTTGCTGCGTCGGTACACGACACTCACACTCTATGCTAGAACTCCAATACCTTCCTCGCCAGAAACGTGAACCGGTTGGCGAACCAGCTCGCCGTTCAGCTCCCTACTTTACCACCCAGGTGAGTCTCGTCGCTACTCGATGTATAAATTCGGCTAGAATCGACATGGTCCACAGCAACGATTACATTATCTGGCTCGAGAACGTCGCGGACTCCACGGACGTCTATGGCAACAGCAACCTGATCACAATCGTCGCTGCGGCGACGACCACGCCCGCCACCACCTCGACACCCACTACCACACAGGCTCAAGCCACGACAGCTGTGGTCACTGTGGTGACCACGAGCATAGACGTTGAACACCCCTCGTGAGTGTCTTATTCCTGCTGCCGCAACTGTAGCGATCTTACTACATACATTCTGGCGACCTGTACAGGACACCGACGACAACACCGACGACGACGGCTTCCACCTCTTCCGCTAAGGACTTCACGACCTCGATCCGCGCGTCCTCGCCGGCGCAGTCGTCTGACTCCGCCGCGGGCTCCAGTGGCGGCGGCATCGACTCCCCAATCATCAACAGCTCTCCTTCAATGCCGAGCTCTTCCTCCAGCCCCGCACCGCAGGGCTTCCAAACGCAGGTGGCTGCACCAGTATCAAGGTATGTACATGTTGCATGTCATTTTGCCTCTGAAAATTTGAGCCACGGACCAGCAAGGCGATGTCCGCGGGCTCCGTCGCCGGGATCGTAATCGGGGTCCTCTTTGTCCTCCTCGCATCGCTCCTAATATGGCTGTGCTTGCGCCGCGCCCAGCGGAAACGTCCTCTAGACGGCGACACCCAACCGTATCCGCATGGCGAGCCTGAACGACCGCTTCCCGAGTTTCTACTCGTGCGACGGGAGAAAAGTGGCCACGCCGGTGCCGTTCAAATCCCGCAGGAAACACCTGTGGCGCAGCTCCGCGAGATGCAGGCCCAGCTGCAGCTTCTCCCTACCAACTCGGGCGACAGTGACGCGGACGCCGACCTGGTACGGCAGAACGAGGCATTGCGTGCGCGCATCCGAGAGCTGGAGTCGCAAACGTCGGATGGGTACGGGTACGAGGCGGACGAGTCACCGCCTCCCGCGTATTTGGATCAGCGCCGGGATTAATCCAGACCATATCCTTCCCTTTTGTCAGTCGTTACTCTGTTTATACTTACGGCGCAGCTAGGTTCATACTGCGCCGGTACTTCACTCGGCCCGAACTGCGGTCAACGATGTCCCCAGGAGTTCCCTCGCCATTTTGAGGTTAGATCAGAATCGGACTCGAAGGAGTCCTACACAATTGGTCCCTCGGGCCAGTCGGGTCATTCCAACGTGCAAAAACCTAGCGAGGACGACGGAAATTAAACGCTCAATCAAAGTATGATTCTGTGGACCCCTCTTGCTCCTCGTGTTCGCCCCTCTTCAACCTCACCTCGACTTCCTTGCAACAAAGCCGACCGACGCAACCTGCTTTATGGCCCAATAATGTCAACCTCGCATAGCCCAGGGAGTTCGTGGATTCTCCCAAGAAATTCGGAGTCTGTGTCGGCGGAATCACCGCTATGAATTCCCTCAACCCTAAAAGTAATGGACCGAGTAAAGAAGTTGCCGGCTCTTGATCCCGACCGAGGCTTCTTGGAGGCTTCTTGCATAATTTGTATAAATGCTGGTCTCAGGATTCAAATCATCGACGTGGCAGCTTTCGTCCTCTCCCTTCCTCGCGATGCTCCTTATGCTCTGGGTCCTGTTGACCGCCTCTGCTGTCTGGGGGCATCCATATCTGGTGCGCTTGTTGAATTCAGCCCTTGCATTCCTGACAGTTGCCCTGTCTAGGGACAACGTGCCACAACGCCTCAAGTGTATGATGCTTGTATCCATGCGAACGACATTGCTCTTACATTCGTGTGTACCTTGGCCTCAATTCTTGATATTGTCTCATCGCATTCATGCAGGATGATGGTATCGCTCCATTTACAACCCTTTCTTCGATCAACCTCACAGTGTTCAGGACCATATAACTATCTTCGCAGCATCTCCGACCAGTTCACGGCCGCCGGCGCCAAAGCGACGTTCTTGATGAACGGCTATAACTGGGACTGTATTTACGACCCGACTCGTGTAGCAGATGTTCAGTATGCATACGCAGCCGGACACATGATAGGGAGGTGAGCGCACAGACCTTTGTTCCGATCGTACGCGAGATGAGCAAATATATGCAGCCACACTTGGTCGCACGCGGATCTCTCCAACTGTACTGCGGCTCAGATTGAAGACGCCATGTACCGCATGGAAGAAGCGTTCTCCCGAATCCTCGGTATCAAGCCCGCCTTTATGCGCCCACCGTATGGCAACTACAACGCCAACATCCAGTCCATCGCAGCTGCGCGCGGCCAGAGCCTTGCTCTGTGGGACACGGACACCGGTGACGCCGACGGGAATACAGTGGCTCAATCGGAGGCAGTTTATGATAATGTCACTAACTCGGGCGCTAAGAATGCATTGATTTTGGAGCACGAAACAGAGAGTGAGTACGTCCATTCTCAAGAATGTTCCTTTCTGACTTCATTCTTTTCACTCAGAAACGACGGCTAATACTCTCGTTCCGTACGCTATCAACCTGTTCAGAAGCAAGGGGTACAATGTAAGCGCCAGGCACTGCTGCTTGTCCTTTCATAACCCAAAGTTCAGCTGGTGACTATGGCTCAGTGCCTCGGAGTCGACCCATATCAGGCCGTTGGAGAACCCCAGGTGCCATCCGTGAGCTACATATCACGGAAAGCACCTACTGTCCTGATTATTCTACAGGCTTCCTGGACCTGCGACGGCACGCCTGAACCCGGTAAAGTCTGTGGTGGTTCAATCGCATGTGAAACCGGCACCCCAGCTTTCTCTTCGACTACATCCTCAGGACTGACGGCAACCTCGACACCGAGCCCGTAAATTCGCTCCATGGCCAAGCCGCGCAAGAGGATGTTCATTTTCGTAAAACTGTCTTTCTTCCGGATGTATTCCCTGGCTGTACTTGACAACCTGTTTTGTTTTTTCGTGAAATGGTGTTTAAACACACACTTTCTGCGCCTCGATCTCGGACCCAGGGCAAGGATGCGACTGCGTTTTTTTGGTCTCCGCGAAGAACCGCGTTCAATTGCACACCACAACGAGAGTTTTCGAATTCTACACACTGAAATAAGAAATCAAAGTTCCTGATGCATGTTCGACTGAAATGCGACTAGTGTGCGGCTCACCTGCGCAGTGTAGCGGTTATCACTTCAGATTCCGATACATTCCCTGACAACTCTCATTTTCTGGCGACCCCGGTTCGATTCCGGGCGCGACCTCTTACCTCCTCATGAAGTTCTTTTGGCACCGCCCATCCCCTCTTTTGTGCGTCGCGATGGTCGTTTCCCGTTAGTTCCTCTTCGCAAATAACCCACTGAAATCCCTGCCCAGAATTGCAAAGTCCAGAGCTAACAAAATAAAGTGTCCCAGCTGGCGGGCTGGGGGGAAGAATTCAGTTGCTTCGAAGGATATCGGATGGAAGGATAGACTCGTCCTAGGTTCGGAGCAAGCCCGTGCGCGCGACTCGACGCGTACGGGACTCCATGTCACTCGCCGCAGGTGACCTGGCGAAAGCTGACTTTGCCCGGGGCGTTGCAGTGCGCGCCATGCCGCCCTCTCATCGTCTACTGTTCCGTTCAACATCCCCGGTGCGAGCATCGACACAACCACTGACACGCGCAACCCCGCAGAAAAAGCTGATGCACACGAACTGTACACGCTCGCCTGGGGCCCCACCTGCGTGCGCATCTACGGTCTCCTCGGGCCTTCTACGTATTCTCGCAGCCGCACGCGCGGAGGGCCACCTCGCCGGAGATGCGGGTCTTTCTTAGTAGCCCGTTCGCATTCGGTTCTCCCCCATATGGGCGATATACTGTCCAAAAATTAACAAAAAGTTGCAGAGTTTTTAGTTGCAGCTTACATCTGCAATCCGGAGCTTGGGAGACATCTTCTAGGCTGACTTCTCCCGTTTGGTTGACATCTGGCGTCAACTGGGTCGCATCTCTGTGCGGCTAACTTCGCATCATGATTTGTGATCAACTCGGCTATCGGCTCACCTAGGAACATCTCCGGATACTTGACATTATGTCTTGCAGCTCTCATATGCCGCTCAGACAGTATTCCTTTCACTATATACTTCCTACACGCCTCAAAGACTGCCTGATTCTCAATCTAGTGCAGCAATACGGTAAATCACCGTGTTTAACCCTGTTTTCTGTGATCTGCCGGGTGGAAATGGCCTACGATGGTTTGGTAGAGAGGTATGGACCCAAGAGCTTCTATGGCTTCAGGGAAGACTACAAAGGTGTTAAGGCCGATCACAGACGCCGTCCGACGCGAAAAATCTAACCACCTTCCTTTTAAGTCTCTCGGCACGCCGAGGGCATCATTGTTGCGATCACTCTTATCAATTTACAGAACTTTTTCAACGCAGAGTCCTACAGAAGTAACCCTTTGGCCCCGCAGTCAGTTGTAACCCTTCGAAACTCAGTTGTAACCATTTGACTTAGTTGTAAGCAGTTTGAACAAAATTCCGCAGATGCGACCAAAAACCCTGCATCCAGCAAGATGCGACCATAAAATAAATTTTGGACAGTATATATGCCATACCCCCCACGCTAAATAGTCGTCAAACACGCCGTATAGTGCGTTCGTCTAGCCCTATGTGCGAGATATTTTTTGTTTGCTGAATTCAGAATCCGACGTGCGAAAGTTGAGCATCCGCACTGTACACGGGAGAAATATGAAAGCTCTGTTCATGGATCCTCAACTATCGTCATTGGCGTCCTTGCGAATCTGATTGAATCCAGGTCCATCGTCAAGGGCTCCACCCCATCGTTGGCTGCCTCGTAAAGGTGGAGCATCAATCTCGAAAGTAGAGCCATAGAGAGGCTGAGGATTATGTGTGTCAGTGCATAGTCACGGTATCATCGAATCTTACCTGGTCGAAAACCAGGACACAAACCCCGAAAGCAGTACCTGTGAAATGTCAGCGCTAGCGGAAACGGAGAGGATCTTCGATCGTGGACATACATCACCGAGCTACAGATATAAATCGGGAATTGGGTCAATACGCGGGTCATCTGAAAAGAATGCGCACATAGAGTGTTACAACATTTGCCAGATTTGTCAAGACCATTATTCTGTGTCGTCCCCGTCAGGCAGTCCCGAATAAATTCGGCCAGTATTCACCCGAAATACATGGCTCCTAAGCGATGGATGTAAGAACTCAAGCAGGGTGACGCCAGGAAGGGTACATGTACCGTCGGTCACCATCATTTCGATCAACGTTCCCTTGTACCTCAGACATGAGCGCCGTTGGATGTATGCCCGGCGGACGGTCAGTGCAAACACGAGCATGTCGCACAGCAGCCTGAAAACTTCCAGAATGAATTACGGAGAAGCTGTAAAGGAAAGGCACTCACACTACTTCCCAGGCTATACCAAGCCCTGCGAGTGAAGTGAGTTTGACTGTTAGATAACTGTCAGAATGAGGGCCGCTCACGATGGCCACTGTGGGACGAGATAGTCTACACCAGAGCTCAAAAACCCGATTAAAAGATGGACTCACGAACTCCGTGGATATGCACTATGGCATCCAGGCAATCCCGGAACCGCGAGCATCTGCGGAAACCTGTCCTTGATTGCCGCCCACTGTCAGTCATACCATGGTCAGTCGAGAGCACGAGGGATTTTGAAATGACTCCCCAGTGCCAGCGACCCGGCCAGTCCATTGATTGCCAACAGGCAGACAAGGATCGGAATATTGAGGTCATACATCGCGAAGACCCGGAGAATGAGGACACCTGCGTTCAGCTTGGGTTAATTAACGCCAATGCCGCAATATGTGCTTATCACATTCAATCATCATCTCCTGTATAATAAGGAGGACCTCCCATGCCAACCACATCTTGAGGCAGCTATAGGTGCACTTGGTGATAAGGAAAGCGTTGAATCCGGATGACAGTACCTCTGAACCGATCAAGTCATTTGGATGGAATGTCAAATGAGGGGCACCTACCTCATGGCTCAGGTCACCCAAGTAATAAACCGACATTGCGATATTGGCGGTGAGGCCCAAGTATCTGACTGTGAAGTACCCGCAGGTACTCCGCCGTAGCTTGGACGACCAGACATATTGGACCTCCGCTCCAAGGATCAGGAGGTAATCATACAGAAGGATCACTGTGGAAGTATTTGTAAGTGTACCCATAGATTATATGGTGAATGAGGTACCAAGCCCGGTGAGAAACAGCGACCTGCACATTCGACTGAGCACAGCATGAGCGTGAAAAGAATATGCAGCGAGGCTGGAGCACCGACTCGTCCCACTCAAAAGTGGCGTAGTCCAAACCGTCGTAGTCCTCCGACGGCAATAGCAATGCTCCAGGATGTTCGGCCATGGGGTGGTAAGCAGAGAGGTGTGAATCATGAATCCAGACCGACAAGTATATATACCTGCGCGCTCCCACACCCAGCTTCTCCCCCACGATAAAGATATACTTCATTCTTCTGGATCCCATTGCAAGGGCAGTGTCGTCGCCCCGGTCATCCCCGGTTACATGTATAAACCCTCCTACATGATCAGAGCCAAGTGAATCGGTGGTTCGGCCGTCGCGACGTGTGCTGGTTCTATTGGCTGGAGGTTGGCCGGAGATTCAACAAGCTCCTACTCAATTCTTGGACTTTTCCCCCTACCTGGCCTCCCAGAACAACCTATAGGTACCTTAACACAAATGGTTTGGGGAGCATCATGAAACCATTCTTCGACTCATCTTTGACATTTGACCTGATGAATCACGGATATGATGTAAATGCGATGTTCCGAACTTCTGGTTGAGCGGCGGTGGGTTTTCTATGTGGCTGAGTGTCGAAACGCGAATCAGTAGATACTTATGTGTCGTTGAAAATCCTGGGCATATCCTTCCTACAGATTATGGGCACTGCTGCTGTCTGTCGCCATTGCGTACGCCTACGAGAGGAATTCTCCCCTGTTCCGTTTTTGGATGAGGATCGAACCATTGGAACCTTCCATCATCTCAACAGCCACAACAGCGAACAACGGGACAACATCTGTGATCGGATAAACCGCTCGTCGTTGGATCCCGATATATTTCGAGTATGAGTGCATTGCCGGAGGATCGATGTTGTCGGAGCGATGGGCTTGGATGGTTAAGAAGATGAGGATCCAGATTCCGGGGAGCAACACTTGATCAAGAGCACGATTGAGTATGTGTCCACACAATCTCCAGCTCAAGCTTGCCTCGCGCGGACCATCAAGCCAAAAATGCCTGGAACCAACCCCGAGAAAACCAGGAACCAGGGGCCCGAACAGCGTCCCAGATGATAATAAATCACGGCTGGCCTGAAGTGAAGGGGTCTCATTCCCGCTCTTGTGTCTCCAGTTCCTCCACAGCCTACTCATTCAACGACAAACTCAGCTCTTATACGAGGATAGTACAGCCTTTTGATACTGCCAGGAGCGCAGGCTGCGTAGCGATCGCCCCTGCCAGAAGATTTGGAATCTCCCGCGTGACGAAGGCACAGGTCTGATATTCTTGTTACGCTTACAAAGTTGCTCACATTCATCAAAAACTGATGAGTGCCATTACTTTTGCAGAGAGCTGAATTTTAACTGAGTTGAAACAGCCATCAAAGGTCCCGTGACGCGCATACCGCGACGCGATTGGTGAAACACGACCAAGCAGCATTTTCGACTAGAAGATGGAAACAGCTCGGATCAAAGACAGCTTGTTAACTTAGTCTGGGCACAGGATCGTATATTGAGTCAGCACGTTTACAGCGTCTGCCATGCCTCCTGTCCATAGAGTACGCTCGTTCCTCAGCCTGGCTCCGATGAGTGGAAGACGGAAGAGCTGGGCAGACTAAGAAAGCGAGGTATACCGTCGGCGGCATTTACAGTTGCTTCCCGCGCTCAAACGAAGCCGCACAAAGGACGACGATCAAACCGTTCCTTATGACCGCGAATCATTGTTTTCCGAGGAGTTCCATGTGTCGGAGGAGTGCAGAAGAACAATACAGTTGGGTCAGGTGTATCGCGGTGTGACATCTGGAGCGGCGAAGAGTGAACTCCATGTGCGGAGAATCGGAAGACGTTTTGAACTTGGAAGATGGTTCAAAATCACATCGATTGAAACTTGCTCTAGGAAATAGAGTGGCGAAGCCGCTATTCGGTCGACATGGACTCAGGGGCCCACATCCGCCAGGCTAGACGCCTCCGACGCAGAGCTGAAGGCAAGTTCAACTGAACCGTCC